TCACTCACATTGTGCTTCATCTGCGCATATCAGAATAGGTGCAGCCACTGAGCTTGAACATGCTCGGTTTGAACCACAATTAGTAGAACTCGTACTTCGAGGTCACATCCGTACGGCTTGCTGCTGTCAGCTCTTGAATATGAATCAAGTTTAACATTTGAGCCAAACATATTAGGGTGAGGGTTTTATAACACTTGAGCCAACATATAGGGTTTAGGGTTTGAGCCACTTGAAAAAAAAGAAGGGTTTATTAAGGAGTGTAGGGTTAAGAGTAAGGTTGTAGTATGGATTTCTGGCTATTGTTCGCATTGCAGAGCTTGATAATAGTTAACTTTCCGAGCTTAACATTAAAATTAGCCACGTAACCAATAACCCCGAAATCGAAACCAGACCTGGAACCACAAATGGAGCCCCCACGAAAGCCGTTGCAAGTCGTAAGTTCCACACGATGACAAAACGAATGGAAATTGCACCAAAATGACAGCAACCCGGCCCCTTCAGCCCCAGCAGAGCCGCAGCGCTGCAGCAGAGACAGCCGGCTATCTCTTTTGTGCGATCAGGGAGACTTGGCTGCAAGCTTGTCCAAAGCTGATTTGTTGATAACGCAGAATCGCTTGAGAACGTTCAAAGAGGCTTTCCTGTAAGAAACCCGGCGCTTTACGATCAAAGTCTGTTTCACGTAATCTTCATCGACGAATGTAGCATTGCAAAATGGATTGCGAGATGCCCCGGGAACCTCAATATCCTCAACGATGTGTAGCAGGCCATGAAGCTTCGGACGACATTTGAAGAAAAATTCCCCGAGCTCCAAGCTTTCACTGGCCAGCGATATATATGATCGCACAAACAAACGGCCAGTCACCACGGCTGTGCTGCGTTCCGAGTCAGTCATGAAAAGCGAAGCATGCGAAAGAACTCCGATGAATTGCACGGCAGCCCAAGTGCAAGCAACAAGGCCTTCGTACTTTGCCAGTCGTACCATATGGAGCTTGTCACATAAAAAGCGCAAACACGCCAATGTGTCTGCCCCCTTCGCTCGAAGTTCAGGACATTCTCCAGATTTCCACTTGATCGTATCTTTGTTCATTTTGGTCAAGCTGAGCACCTGACCATGTGCTTTACACCAGCCTTTGAGGTCGCTCATGAGTTGCGCCAGACGTTTTTCAATCTTGCTGCCCGAATAAACATCACGGTTCTTGCATAGAAGTTTGAATCCTGTTCCGCAAAGATCACGGGCCACTCCTAAATGGAAGACATGGAGTAAATCTAGAGCAATGAGCTTCTCTGAAAAACCAACCAGTCCAGACATCGCCGGAGCTACATTCCACATCGGACCAATGCTCTGATACCTCCATGCGGCATTGTCGCTAACATCGGTGTAGCAGCAAGCAAGGTCTTGGTTGCCCTTGGTGGCAGCACATCGGAAGCAAATCTGAACAGGGCCAAATATGCAGGCACCGTTTTTGTTAGCATGCATGTACAACCTAGCAGGAGCCCTAAAGATAGCCCGAAGGTCCCAAATCCTATGCTTCTATGGCCTAGGTGCATTAGTTTTAAAAGCTCACATAGCCAGTCCTAGGGGGGGGTTGTAACGGGTTCACTGGCCTCCTCCTTTGTAGCATGTCGCCGCAAATTCAAGGATTGGACAAGGTATTTCATATCACCTTTGTAGGCCACGCAGCGGAAATAGAAAACCTCAGCCATTGACAGAACAGTATCGAACCTCCGGTTAGGTTTCGTAGGTATGGGTATAGGTATCGGGTATATAGGGTATATAGCCTAAAATAGCAGGGGGCATAGGTATAGGGAGAGATATAGCTTAGTTATAGGTAAACAGGGATATAGAAATAGAACAAGATATGTAGATATGGATAAAGATGCAGGTGCATATGTATATGGGGGAAAGTCTGATATCCATATGTTTTCATTTACATATGTTTATGTTCTTACTGAAGAGATAATTACATCTTGCAAGAGTCATATCAAGAAGCATCGTCCCCAATCTGCAATCCAGAGGTGGCCAGACTGTTCAAATCGTCAACCACCAATTGCAGTATTGCTTGCAATGTGGCATTGATGTGTTCAGGCTCCTCAAACCAGTAGGCGTAGGTTGGGATAGAGTACATGAGATATCTTGAAGCCTTGCTGTTGGTCCGGTATGGCGACAAGTCGAACATCCTTGGCCAGGGTTAACAAACACACTAAAAGCAGCGGTGGAAGTACCTACAACTAGCAATCTCGATAAGATCGTGAAAGGTTTATTGCTAGACTTCGACTAGCCACAGAGTTCCAAGCATCCATGATGTAGAATTCTTGATGGTACCCTCATCCCCCCACAAACAGTAAGGAATGGTGGTCTTCCACTGCGATGCCAGAGGTGGTGACTCCAGCTGCCCGGCCATTTCTGTCCAATACTGCTCCAAGTGTTCCAAAGGCCCCAAACAGGATGAATAGCCAGTGGACAGCAGCGTTCTAACCTCGCATTTGGGTTTATATTGATGTGGTTTAATTTTGCAGTTTCGATTAATTTATACAATTGTATATTAGGGATGTCTGCGAGTAACATTGGGTTTTCTTTACCGGTTCAGGAACTGTTCCAGCGCAGAAGCCCTGCAGATAGGTAGGATACAGTCATAAATGTTATTGATAGGAGCCCCGTAGTGCTGGTAGGAGGCAATGGTGCTGGGCAGAATCAAGGGCCAGGGCTCGATAGCCATGACATCATCTTCCCCAGGTATTTCTTTCAGCACCGGCACATTCTTCCACGAAATATCGAACTGATGAGCAACACCCAGAGCTCGGATTCTCTGATGGAACTCGTTTTCGCGCAGAGCCCGCGACCCAAAACCAGCCAGGGCATTGCTACCATAGATATCACCTCCGGAGGTTTCTACAGAGATTATAGCAGTATAGCACCCATCAAACATACCCTAGAAATTAGGCTCGAAACCCTTAAACACATTTTAGCCGCGACACCAAGCTCACACCCAAGTGTGATGGAGGATTGTCCTTCACAAACAGCTTCCGCAAGCCTTAGCTCCCGGTTTTCAGCTAGGGTTCCTTGGGAGGCAATATACATGAACTGATCAAAAACACAAGTCGATGTGCATGAGCTGAGGCAAACACAACCCCCAAACCAAAGAGCAGGCCACTGCTCCTGGCTACTCATATAGGATTCACAAACCATTGCTAACAAGGCTCCGTTTGTCCAACTGCGTGGTCACCCTCCTGGACGACGAAGCCGGCTCCACGTCTGCGCAAGCGAGGTTGTACTATGAGATCGGTATATACCATATAGGCATTGAAGCGGCTGTCGATCGATGCAAGACTCGTATATTTTCGGAGACAGCAGGAATCACGATTGGTTTCCCCAAGCTTGGAACACTAGTGAGCACCAGGGTCTAAGGTGCCCCGTCTTTGCAAAAGCACAGCATATTGCCGTGGTAGTCAGCACCATGGGTCTAAGGTGCCCCTTCTTCGCAGAAGCACAGCATGTATCGATCATGCCATGGTCGGAACATTCTCTCACTGCATAGGGCAGCAGAGAACTGAAGCTACCCAGGCAGATGCACATAGGCCAGGCCACATACATCGCACAATCCTTTAATCAAACGTGTCATGAAGTATCTGCAGATGAGGACATGAAACTAGTGCTAGGTATTACATTATCAAAAGTAGCATCGGAATGCTGGCTCACATAGTCACGGCCGATATGTCAATGCACATGCTGCCACATCACCCTCTCTTCTTGAGCTCGGCGATAAGGCCTTTGGCCTTTCCCTTTAAAATCTTCAGCTCGTTGACCTCGGATATGGGGAATCCAATCAGGGCCAACATAGGATACTTAGCAACATCTGAGGCTTATCTTAGCGTTTAACCTCCTAGCCTGTCATAGATAGTAGTCCAAATCCTAGGAGTAGAGTAAATGGGCTGTAGCCATTTGGGGGCATTGTTATTGGGTTGAACCCGAGCCCTTGGACACCATGGAAGACAATGCATTTTCGGCCGGGTTTAAATGCTTTTAGATATCGGTGCTGGGCTGTTTCAAGTTTTCGGTGTTCAGGGTTATTAGGGCTACAGGTTTGGGGGTAGATTGAGCACTTAAAGTGCAATATGGCTTTAGGCATATACTTAGGGATTGCTTGGGTTTTTATTCATGTTGGGTCTATTGCAAAGCCAGGGACGATGTCCCAGATCTTCTGACACAGGGGCTCCATCTCCGAGCCCGTTGTAGCGTTCTTGAACCTCACAATCACCATGACGTCCAAATGATTAAAGTAGTAGACTCCCAGACAATATTATCGAGTGCACAGAGCCGAGATGCTTCTTAGCCAACTTGATCAGCTTTGTCTGGCTGTTGCCCAAGTCATCCTTCAGCTGGTCATCGTCCGGCAGATCCAACAGGATCCCAGAGATGGTCGAGATCTCCTTCTTCATCTCAGCACCTGACATAAATATTATCGCACCCATATCTGCCCAATCAGCTAGCTTCATCATCAGCTTTGAAGAGAACATAGAGCCATTATGTGCAATTAGGTGACTCCAGCGGTCATGCTTCTCCCCATCCGTACGAAAGGTCTCCTCATTCAGCGGCACCTTCTGCGATGCACCCCGGCTGCCAGCCGACTTGTTCGAGCGCCTCGATACCACACTGCGCGCTCCGCCTCCCCTGCCTCAGAGAGTGGTATGGGTTTAGGGTTCGGGTCTGAGATTAAGTGTTGCAGTATATGGGTCTGGGTTTTGAGCTGTCCTGGGTTGGGCTAGATATCTTCATACTGTGGGGTTGTTGGCAAGGGCTTGGGTTCATATAGGGTCGAATATATTAGTTGCTTCATGGTCCTGGAGTTTACAATCGGTGAGTATACAGTTTGGGAGTGCAAGTACACAAGCATTGGGTTGCGGGTTTTACATGGTATAGTTGGGGTTTATAAGATATGGGTGATTTAGGTGCAGTTTGCTAGCTTAGCTTGGACACAAAGTGAGCGACAGAAGGGGCTTGATTACATAACAAGAGGTTGTGCTTGGGGGCCCTCATTATATGCACCTATCAGCTCACTGGTTGACCACCTTGAAACGAGAAAGTTAATCCTAGATGCGAACAAGAAACCAGAAGGGGCTGAGGATTCAACACCCCCTGCAGCCGCAAGCTCTGCCCTGAACCCGTCGTAGGCTCTCAAGACATCTCCTGAAAGCGGCGTCGGACCTGCACTGGCCTTCGGGCGTGCAAGGAGGGAAGGATCAGTGGGGCCATTCAAGATGTTGTACATATCATCAGGGGAGGCCGTGGCATTCACCGACATGGAATGCTCATGCCTTGGCTGTACACTGTCAGGACTGGGCAAGCTTGCTCATGATGCAACAAAAGCCATGCTCATGATGCTCTAACACATGATGTGCCAACTAGGTGGCGAGACATCCAGGGTGTCTGTCCTTGTCTCGGCAGTGGTCACCCAGTACTTGGTCTCCTCCACGATGCCTGGAGCATCGCGGTCCTCAGTAAGGATAGGAAGCAGAAGATCCCCAATAACAATTCATCACACAATGCTAATGATGATCTTGGGAGCCTCCACTCCCTGCTGGTGAGCAATGATGTGGGCAATTTTTCTCCTTGGCAGGCAGATATACAGGCATGGCCAAACAGTAAACAGCAGAAAGCATGCAGTAGCAACGCTAGCCAGGTTTTGCCGAGGGACTCACTGAAATTGTATGGTGCTTTGCTCATGTCTTTTACAGCCACCAATTGTACCACTCTTTGCCCCCGCAGATTCGAACGACGGGTCGCCTTGACCAAAGATTCGCAAGCAGCGATGTTCTCGTGGGACTGAACCCAACGTCGCAATAGCTCTGCTCGCTCCTCATCAACATACGAGGGTCGAGTCACTAGGTGAAGCAGTACATGCATGGATTATGAAAAGTTAAAGCTTCCGCTCCTTCGTCGTCCCATTTGCCAGGGCATGCATGCTCGGATAGCTGGTGGCAGTGATTGTGCCATTGTTCATGAGCCGGCCCTTAAAAGAAAACCATGCGATCCAGCTTCGCGTGGCTACAACTTATTGTGCAGCACTAGTCCTGCAATCCAAGGTGCCAATCTCATGTACTCCTTCTTGTGGGTCTTCGAGTTGATTTCAGGCGGAGGTGCTGGGGCAGCATCCGAAGGGTTAGCAGCAGGCAGCGCAGGCATGCTGGTAGGAGCAGCAGCAGAAGGGGCAGGATTCAGGTTGTGGGTCGAGCGGAGGCGTTGCAGGGCAGCCTCTTTGGAATCGGCTTCCTTCTTCTTCTTCTCTGCTTCGGTACTAACCTCTGACTGTGCACTCAAGATGTCCGCGGCCTCTGCTTCACACTCCTGACCCTCATCCCAAGCTAGACCATCATAGTCCGAATCGGGCTCCTCAGCAGGCTTCTCTGCCTGCTTCTTCTCCGCCTGCTGCTTCTGCAGCTGCGCTTGCAACTGCCCGACCATGGCTAGGAGGTTCCCAAGGTCCTGGTTAGAGGTCACCTGCGAAGCCGATGCCCCCAACCTTAGGTTCCATAAGCCCAAGACTGCTCGATTGGGGTGGTTTCCCCGCGACACCCATTTATAGATCTTATATGCATCACTAGATTCCTGCGGGAAGTCAAGGCACAGGGTGTCGGGTTCGTTTCAGGAGTTGTGTGTGGAGAGTTCAGAGTCATTTCGGAGCCTTGCTCTTGAAGCAACAATCCTATGTCCATGCATTCATTCTAACTTATATTGCAGGGGATGTCGGAGTATACCCAACACCCCCTCCCCCAAACCTCATTAGGCTTCATACTCGATGCCTTCAAAAGCCTAAAAACACCAAAGCAGTATTCCTAAAACCCTGAAATTCAAGCCTCAAAACCCCCACCAAGCCAGACCTTAAAGCCCGTAGTCTGTAATCCCTAAGCCCTGAGCCACAAGCCCTGAAGCTAATAAACGCAAAGACCTAAAACCGTACTGCTTGGGCTTAAGAGCATTGTGCTGCTTTCGTGCACACTACAACCACAAAGCAGTGAGAAAGCATACACAATTCATGTTCCCCCCCTGCATGCAAAGCCGTACTCCCTGAGCCAACAACAGCACACAGCAACAGCAGCAACAACACCAACCACTAACAGAACCACAACAGCAACAACAACAGCAACGACAACAACAACCACAACAGCAGCAGCACCAACACCGACCCCAAGAGCAACAGCCACAACATCAACGGCAAACCAACTCAAAATACATCATGCCACATCGAATAAGTGTTTTGCATGAACACACCCCACGCATGTGTGTGTGTATGTATATGTACGTATGCATATGCATGCATGCATGTATATGTATGTATGTATGTATGTATGTATGTATGTATGTGCGTGTGGTATTAATACATGTGATGCACTTAATTGCATGTCGTAGATTGCTCGGGTGTATGCTATGTTATGGTGTGTGTATGTATATGTATATGTATATGTATATGTATATGTATATGTATATGTATATGTGTATGAATGTATGTGTATGTGTGTGTATATATATACACATGCGTGCGCACATGCATGTGTATATATACTGTCTGAGTGCAACTAAAAAGCGACTCGATCAGCTCGGTCACCGAGGCATTCTCGTTGATGATCGTGCTCGCGTTGTCCACTGGCGGGTTGCTGCTGTCGATCTGCTTCTCACCCAGCTCGAGGCTGAGACAAGACCTTTGTTTTCCAGTTCGGTACCATTTCATTGGTGGGATTCAAAGGACTTGTTCGGCAATCAATACATGATATAGTCGTAGACTACTGGTAAACTGAATATTGCAGATGCATTGAACTGTCAGTACAGAAAACTCACACAGTCAAGTAAGTGTTGGAAGCCCAAAAATCCTGAACCCATCAACTTAGATCAAACCTTGCAGCCTTCAGCCTCACTAGTGGTACATGGCTTGGGGTAGGCTGTAATAAGCTTAATAGACAACAAGTTGCCAGCCCGTCTTCAGCAGCTCCGGATCATCCGGCTGCCGATCCTGCGACCACGGCTCCTCCGGAGCCTCCTTTCGATCACCACCATCACCATCATCACCGGTCTCAGCCTCACTTTCATTCGGGGCCCCGCTTGGGGTGGCTGGGCGCTTCTTACTGTGACGGCGGCGGTTCTGTTTGGTCGGTGGGGTTCCAGGGGCCACCTCATCGGCCTCATCGATACACTTGATCATGTTCGCAAGATCATCATCTAGCTGCTCCTCTAGCTGCTTGCCCGAAACAGCCTCGGCTGCTTCTGCCTCGGCTGTCGCTAAATCCTCCAGTGCCTTGAGCTTCTTGATCTTCGATCCCGATGCATTGGCTCCTGCTGCTGCTGGCCTTTTCTTGTCATTCCCATGCTCTGCAGTGTCAGGGTCCTGGCTTGTAACGCCTGAGCTTGCATGGTTTGTTGCAGCTGCTTTCTTTTTCTTCTTCAGCTTCTTGGTTGTCACAGCTGGGGCTGGGGCTTCGGGTTCAGCTGCTGCTTCGGGATGTTCTGTGTCTTCGGGCGCCTCTTCTTCAGGAGCTGTAGGCTTGGGAGTCTTATTCTTGGCCTTGTTCTTCTTCTCCTTCTGCTTCATCTCACTCGGGTCTGTGGACACTGGCTCCGAGGGGGCTTTGGCACTGTTGCTTTTCTTGCCTCTTGTCTTCTCAGTGCAAGTTGTCGATGCCTCTGTTGGGGCCTCAGCTTTGGAGTTGTTGCTTGTTTTGCATGCTGGCTTGTCGGCTTCGGCTGCGTCGGCTGTGGGGCCCTTGCTTTTCTTGCTTGTTGGGTTCTCTGCGGGGTCCTGGCCCTTGCGCTTGGTGGAAGGGGTTTCCTTGTCCTGCTTGGGATCCTTTGGCGGTGCTGCCTTGGCCTTGGGCTTCCTCACTGCAGCTGGCAGCGTAAGCTCCTCATCCTCAAGCTCATTGTTCTTCTCTTGCTGATTCTCAAACTCAAACTGAAGAAAGACTTCAATGGCTTGAGCGTAGCTGAGGCTTTCGGATTGCATGAGCGAACCCAGTGTGATGTCGTTGTTGTCCGGTAGCAGGGGTGTATCCAAGGATATGGTTTCATCCTGAGGGTTTTTCTTGAGCTTCCTCAGGGCGTTCCCTCTTGCAAGGGCACCCTTAAGCTTTTGGCTTCGCTCCTTGCTGGACGAAGCACTGCCACTCGAACTTCCAGCCTTGCTGTGGGCCGGTGCCATGATCACAAAGCCACTTGGGCCTGGCGGACCTGAATCCTTGATCAAACCGAGCTCGCATAGATTCATAGATGTTCACTGATTGACCAACAGCCATGCTGGATATTCTGCACAGTGTAACTATTACAGAACTATCACATGAACATCCCGACCCAGACCTGCCATATAGAGTTTACATTAAGCATCACAGCTGTTCTGGATTCTTGAAGTATTAGAACATGATTCGGCCAATCCCAATGTTTTGGCACCAGCGCTCGGATCTCACTGATACTGTAATTAGAGGGCTGAGCATGTGATATACCTCAGACCAGGCACCACTAGCCTTGAATTATGCCAGAAGCCTCTTTATGAAGCATCGAGCACCTAGAAAATACGAATTTCCGGAATTCACGCCGTTCACGCTTTTTACCTGGCGTTTCACGCTATATATCTTGCAGGGCACGCTGGTTCACGCTTACTTTCTTGTGCGAGAACGGATCATTCCAAAGCACAGAAGGACTATACTTGGTGTAAAGACCCCCAAACCTGCTTCGAATGGCCTTGAACAGATAATGAGTGCTCAGCTGCCCCAACAACATGAATAGTACTATGCTTCTGCAGAAAGCTTCGCAGCTATCATTGCTAGCCGTTCAGCCAGGAACTGTGCACCACCGGGCTCCTGCACCATGTGCCTTGGTATGTATTTCTCGAGCATGCCTCGCTACTTTGAACTCATTCTCTGCCTCTCCCCCGGACTCTCCTCTATCTATCTCTTTATCCACTCCCTCCCTCTCTATATCTATCTGTATCTGGCTCTCTCTCCTGCTCGGGGCACACTTTGTTCACGGCTTAAAATCTCCATATATCCCTCTCTCTCTCTCTCTGCTTATCTCTCTCTCTCTCTCTCTGTCTTTCTCTCTCTCCGTCTCTTTGTCTCTTCTCTCTTCAAGAAACATGAGAGTGAAGTTCAGAGCCTTAAGCTTTTTGGGAACATACTTCAGGGAGAGATTGGAGGTGAGAGCAAGAGGGGATGGCCCAAAGAACTTGCAAGGTTCTAATTCGGAGCAAAGCCAGACAAAAGGGAAACCAGGGAGATCCAGGTGAATCCAGGGAGAGATAGGACGAAGCAAACAATACCCAATTGCCAGCCGGTTGCTTTCGAATCTTCAGCAGCAACTCGCCCTTAGTTGCCGGCAGCCATTGATATGTGGGATGCAGTCTGTAATATAGTATATGTACACATCTATTCGACTTTCGACCCTGACCACACTCTGCCCCTGTACCTATATACTAGTCTCATCGGACACACCCTGCAGCACATATTAAATGTCATGTGTTGAGATTCCTAGCTGTTAAAAGTCTAATATACATCTGTATATATACACATATGTGATACCCAGTAGCCCTGCCAGCAATGCACACACCCCGTGAGACACTATAAGAGATTAATGGGTTCCTGGTTGTGTACAGGCTATATATGCACTTGGGGCTTATGGAGTTTCGGGTTGAGGGTATGGGATATATAGAATTAATTGTGTGAGGTTGCAGGGTATGGGCACAGGAGTTTAAGAATCATGATGGACCTCTGGTGCCAAGCCAACCGTGAACTCCGAGAACACACAACTGAACGAGAACCAAGCGAGAATTCCGAGAACGAACACATGAACAACGAGAATTCCGAGAACAGCCTGGAAAACAACTCACTAGTGAATATATATGCCTACAAATGAAACGACCCAAGACCCAAATAGCTTGAAGGAGAGCTCGGCGTGAACGCCGTGAATTGCGAGAACCTGCTT